ATACCTTCACAAGATCATTGCATCTATTTTTTCAGCTCGTTGCATTCTAAGGAAACAACTTCATAATCCTATACTTTGAACTACTCATCAGGTATGTTTAGTAAACTTTCAGTGGTGTGTTTAGTAAACTTTCAGCATCCGAAGGTGACTTCTTTATTCTTGAATTGTGTGACAGGTGAGAGGGAGAGATTGATCATCTAACTTGTGGTGTAATCAAGACTTTCTTGTTTGATTAGAAATTGCAGATGGTTGTTAGTCATTACTAATGCAAGAGTGTCCTTAGGCAAGAGCAAGAAGTTGAGTCACCTTTACTGTTATGACCTGGAGTATTTTATTTGTTTTAAATATTAGCCTAAACCGGTTTGGCTCAGTGGATAAAGCGTTGGCCTGTAGACTGAAAGGTCCCAGGTTCGATTCCGGTCAAGGGCATGTACCTTGGCTGCGTGGACATCACCAGTAGGGGGTGTGCGGGAGGCAGCTGATCGATGTTTCTCTCTCATCAATGTTTCTGACTTTCTATCCCTCTCCCTTCCTCTCTGTAATAAATCAATAAAAATATATTTTTTAAAATATTGCAGGAATCAGTGGGGGGAGAGGAGGAACATCTCTTGAGTCCCTGTGCATCTGTATGTTAGGGATAAGAACAGTGCTTAGTTCGGAGAGCCATATGGAAGATTTAGATGTGATAATGTCACCATTGTGGATGGTAGTAATGGAGCCAGGGGTGATAGAGGTGCTGCTGCCCTTGGTACCCCAGGAGTTGTACCTTGAACTACTATAACAGCAAAAAAATTTAGAAACAACTCTGATATATCCAATACTGTGGAAAGGGATAAATGAATTCTAATATCTCCATACAGTTAAGATCTATAAAACCATTAAAAAGAATGAGAGACCTATGTGTTCTATGAAGAAAAGATGCCCATACTATCTCAAGGGCATAAAGCAGTATGGTGCAGGTAGAGCATGATGTCAGTGGTGTGCATATGTTGTGGAATGTACACAAGAAAAATCCAGAACCTATCACAAAATTGAAGCTGTTTAGTTTCCCTCCAGGGAGTAAGTTGTAAGACATTTTTGCTTTTTTTTATTATGCATTTCTGCAGTTTTTAACATTTTTTTTTGAAATTTACATGTAAAATGAATACATTTTTGAACGCAGAGTTTAAAGAGTAAAGGCACTAGATTAATAACATTCACATATTCTGTTCATAAACATTAATTGAAAATAGTAGATGTACTACATAATTTTAAGCTCATTTATAGAAAGTTCTAAGTATTACAAGACAGGACCTTCATTCTTCCATTAAATATTTATTGAGCAATTACTCAGATACTAGCCTACAAGTTAAAATACGAGTTGCCAGGAGGACAGACATGTAAATAAGTTAATTACAGTGTTATCTGTTAAATGTTAATACAGAGTGGAAGAGGGAAGTAATAATTTTGTGTGAGGTAATCAGGGAGGACTAAATTGAAATGGTGACACTTGAGCTCTTTCTCTTGCAAGATGAGTACATTCGTAAGGGGCAGGGAAGGCTGTGATAACCACAACAGTACATACAAGGAGGTGCCATAATTCTTGGAAAAGTTGGAGTGGTGGTGGGAATTGGGTGTGTGAAGACTTACTAAGAAAAATGAGTCCAGCCGAAGCCGGTTTGGCTCAGTGGATAGAGCACCGGCTTACGGACTGAAGAGTCCCGGGTTCGATTCCGGTCAAGGGCATGTATCTTGGTTGCGGGCACATCTCCAGTAGGGGGTGTGCAAGAGGCAGCTGATCGATGATTCTCATCGATGTTTCTAACTCTCTATCCCTATCTCTTCCTCTCTGTAAAAAATCAATTTTATATATATATATATATATATATATATATATATATATATATATATATATTTATATATTATTTTTTTTTTTTTAAAGAAAAGAAAAATGAGTCCAGCTGGCACTTTACTTTTTAATGGGAGAGAGAGCCAGGGAAATGTTTTTAAGGCATTGAATGACATATAAAAGTTGATTAGGTAATATTGTGAGGCGAAATCCTGGTGGTGTGGGATAGAAGACACAGGGATGGGGCAGGAGCTGAGAACTCAGGTGCCAAGGAAGGAAGCTGTGTGGGTAAGGTAAAAGTGTGCTACCTATTGATGACTGAGTTCTTAGAGATGGACTAGACCAGATCAGAGAGAATGTAAGTGCATCTACAGGCTGGAGTGGGTGAGCAGTTAGGGGTGATGTTATTTTTTAAAAAGGTAGAGAATCACCATGTATTCAATCAGGTTTGGAGGCTATAATGATGTCTACTGGAATTGAGTTGAGGCTTCCAAAAGCATCCAGTGACTTGTTCATCAACATATTTTAGGAACTTAGAATTTTAATTACTCTTTTCAAAAGGATTTTGCATTTAAGCCATCTTCATAATTGAGAGTGGTAACAAAACGCTAATTTTGGAGGTTCTACCTTCTTGTGGGGAAAGAGAGCTCAGAGTAGCCATGAAAGCTACTGAGAAAAGTGGTTTGATTTGAACGTGTAAGACAACTTTGCTTCCATTCACCTTTTACTAAACATGGGGTGTCTTTCAGCAAATTCCAACTCTGGGCAGGATTAGCATTATATACAGAGAACTCTACATCCAGGCCTGGGGGCGGGTCTTGTCTTCCGCCAGTGGCTTCTCTAGAATTTCACGCATCTATATTTCCTAACTGAATTTTGCCCCTCGTCAAAGCAAATCTTTTGATAACAGTCTAGTAACAAATGAGTCTATTCCTAATACATAGGAAACAGGTCCAGAATTAGGCTTTGGGTCCATGGGCTTGTATGAATAGCCTGTTTTACCAAAAGTTAATTATTCAGCATCACTCATAAGTCTGTCTTGGACTATCAATGTAGAAAAAAAGGAACCGTGTTTTTGTGTAAGAACCGTTGTCTTAGATGTGGGGCATGAATAAAAAGAAATCTATATATATAAAAGTCTAAGTGACGGACCATATGATCGACCAACTGCCTGTACATATGACACACACTGGCAATTTAGAAATGAATGTTGACTCGTGCATGCGCGATGCATATAAAGCTCTTGCTGACGCCAATCGCATGTGTTTTGATCTGTCATTGTGGATTGTGAATTTGGTTGTTTTTGTTGACATTCTGAAGCTGACAGCGGCATCATCGACAGTTGGTCTGCAGACCAACTAATGGCACAGTGTACCTTTGAAGCTGAAAGAAAGCGACATCGATGACAGGATATGTCTGAAGAACAACTATTGGCACAGTGTACCTCTGAAGCTGAAAGGAGCCAGCATTATCTACAGAATGTATCTGAAGACCAACTTGGCACAATGTGATATCATTCTGGTTCTCTGAAGCTCACAGTGAACAGTCTACCTAATACTTTATTCCTGCCCTTTTGGTGTTTTCTTCACGAAAAATTATTAAACACACAATGTCGTGGACTCTCCCAGTAATAATAATTACGCGTGTCGGAATCCTCTCTATTCAATAAGAACCAGGCCATCAAAGTTGAAGAGGTGTGACGTTCAAGTTAAACTTGTAAATACTTAATCACAAGGGAAATTAGTCAAGCACTCCGAAAGTGTTTTTACTCTTCATGCGGTATTCAGGGAGATATTAGAATAAGTTTAATCAATTTATCAGTCATTATTTTTATCAATGTCGTTTTTATATCATTTTTTGTTGTTTTTATACCTTTGTTATTGTTATGTCATCAACTTATATATTTTCATATACATTTTACTAATTTTCTTTAATCTCTGATATAGAGAAAAGGTGGATAGTGATATTAAAATATTTCTTCTAATTAATTTCCTTTCAATGTGCACGAATCGATGCATCAGGCCATTAGTGTAGTAATAAAGAACAAAGGCTCAGGAATTCGGCTGCTGGGTTTGAGTATCACTTGAACACTAACTAGCTTTGTGAGGTTGTACCAGATTGTGCCTCAGTTTCCTCATTAAAATGTAGATAATGCTCCTGTTTATGTCATTGGTTGTTGTAAGGATTAAATGAGTTAATATGTTTAGAACAGCAACTAGCACACAATAAGCACTCAATTCGTGTGGGTTCATTGATAGAAAAAATTTAGGCATTTACTCTATTTCCAATTTACACTCCTCTCCAGACTCCTGGTGGGGAAGGAAAGTGGAAGGGGGAGAAAAGGAATTGAGGAGGAACTATGCTTGAATTTAGTAGTTTAATAGCTTTTTTTCATAGCCATTACGTACCAAAAGCAACTGTCTAGCTTCTGTACCCTCACAAAGATAGAATAATCTTAGATTGGCTATGTTTCTTAGTCTTATCTCCCAGGCTTTTTTCCTCACTCTACAGCTGCTTCTGAGAAATTTGCCTTAAAACATTTTTAGCACTTAACCTACCTACCCTGTTTCAAAACCGACAAACTTCAACTCCCAGCCACAGCTCCTACCTCGAAACAACTTTTGAGCTGCTTAAAAATAAGCTTAAAAAACACACACAACTATAGTTTTCTCTATTATAATTTCCTTGGTGTGAGCCCATCACATAAATAATGGAGATAAATGAAGCTTGGCAAGCTCAGCTAACGTGTGGTATAATATTAAACATACTGTTTATGATTCTTAAGATGTTCTGAAAACACTCACATGTATTCCTTGTTAGAAAGAACCTGGGCGTCCCCAGGAAGGTACTGTCACAAAACTGGATCGGACAGGCAGTGCCTGAGCTGTAACACTCTGTGTCTTGTATTAACAGTAATAATAATTACTTGGGTTGTGACTTCCAAGGGGATTTTTTTGAAAGGCTTTTTTTTTTTCTTTTTTTTTTTTCATCTGTGTCTTTGGGGATGTAGATTTTATTATATGGTAGTTTCTTTTTAGTGGAGAAGAATCTGCTATATAGGTTGTTTTAATGAGTTGTTTTATTAATTTTTAATTAGTAGTACTCCCACTTTTTTTTAAGTGCACCAAATAAAAACCAACCATGATTTTTTTTTTTTTTTCTGTATTTATAGGTACTCTTCCTGATGGATGGGAACAAGCCATGACTCAGGATGGAGAAATTTACTATATAAACCATAAGAACAAGACCACCTCTTGGCTAGACCCAAGGCTTGACCCTCGTTTTGGTAAAGGTTCATCTCAAAACCTTTCTAGATATTTTTGATTATAATTTTTTGTATGTGAATTTAGGAAGGTACATTTAAATAAAATTGCACTGCTTTATAGTATTAAAAAAGTGACTGCTCACCCAAGTTTCCCAGTACTATTTTATACCTTTCACTTTAAACTTGAGAAATTCAGGTCTAAGCTTTTTAGGGGCTTGAGGGAATGTTGTGGTGGCTGACTAACTAGAATCACTGACTTTCACATTTTGGGAGACACAGTGATTTGTTTAAAATTATCTTTCTACAGTTACAATCAGGCTATCTTATTGCATCTAAAACCTGGGATACCAGATTTTGTCAGTGACCTGGTGTCTGCTTATGCCTAATTTCAGAAAGTAATCGGTATCATTTTGTGGCCTGAGTATTGTAATCTTTTCTGTCATAAATGAGGGGTTGGGGTATACTCTTGCCCTAGAAATAAGATCAATGACAACATTTTCTCCGTCTCTTCTGGCTTTTTCTTCCTTTTTTTTCCTTTCTTTCTTTCTTTTTTTTAGTAATGGTCTTTTGTTTTACGTTTAGGAAACAAAAAGCAAAGCCATATTCCTCTCCAAATTACACAACAGAATCACTAATTTGCACAAAGGAAAACTCCTCTCCCAAATGTGCACATTTTGATAATAGTACAAGCACTTTTGTTGCCTTTTTATCCAATTTTTTTTTTTCTTCACTGTTTTCAGTTTCTTCAGTTAGGTTTCTGAGATATTTTTCCAAAGCCATGGAAAAATGACTCTAAAAAGCAGCAGATCATTGTGGTTTCGTAGTTTTTGTCTTGGACTGAATGCAGCTAAATTAAAACAACGTGCAGATCACGGAGTAGGTCAGACTGAGGGGACACGGAACCTTTGAAGCTTTACAGGGGTTGACCTAACAACAACTGTGGGGCCCTTATGGGAAAGAGGAATTAACTCTGTGAATGCCATCAGAACACAACGGGGGTTGGGGGAGGGCGGGGAGAACAGCCCAGAGCTGGTTGGGTAAAATTAACTTCCCTGTCAGGAATGTTATGACTGTTCTCCTATGTCTTTATGTATACCTTTAAGCAGCCCCAACATTGGGGTTTGCCCTAAACTGGTCAGCTTTGTGGTTTGCACCCCCTATTCAAGTACTGTTAGTGGTGGGATCAGGACAGAGACTGTCATTTTGACAGATACCCGGTTTGCCTTAAATGCTACCCTCATGAGCTTCAAGACCTACTTAGGTGTTAAAAAAGTTAACGTGGCATGTTAATAATTTGCAACTTCAGATTCTGTTTAATACTTGAATAAGCTCTTGTGGTTGAAACAGGAAACCGACTAACGTAGAGAATTTAATAAATGTTGCCATTTGTATAGACTGGAACGATAGCAGCCATGTTTCCTTAAATCATCTTTAATGAATTCAACTTGTCCACATTTTGGAATCTTTTTAAAATGGTACTGTGGGTGTTTTTTTTACCCTCCACCCCACCCCCAACATACTATTATGAAAGATGATGATTAACTCTTAGCTAACTGCAGAATCAGAAATTGGGACAAAGTTGTTTTTTAAAGTATTTTCAGTTAAACAGTGAAATAAAACAACTTGGCTGTGAGCTTCAAGTAGATCCATTAGTTACACACACAGCGTGGTCCTTTGTTTTAATCAGAGAAAGTATTAAAAAAAATGCTTCTCCTCTACCTCCAACACATACGTACACACAGTCATACAGTTAGATATGCCAAAAAGAGTTGAATAAAATTATCTTAGTGCCTTTAGTTTCCCTTCTCGGGCCCACTGTGTATGTGTATTCCAGACAGGCTTGACAACATGCCAAAAGCTTTTTATTTTGTAGTCCAACTTTTAATCTGTTCCAGACCTTTTCAGTCAGAGAGCTCAAGTATAACTGGAAGGGGGCAGGAAAGAGAAAAAAGTGTGGGTTTTTCTGATCGAGAGTGACAGGGAATAGAGACAAGCTGTTAGCTGCTGAATTTGAAGGAGTTTTCCTTGAAATCTGAGGTTCTATAGTGGAGTGTGTTTTATCTCTGCCAAAAAAACATAAACTATCCCCTTTCTGACCTTTTGAGCCATGCAGACACAAACAAATAGTACGATATTTTTTTATGGTTTGGGAGTTTGCCTTCCTGTATACCCCAAATCTGATTTAAAATATTTGCAAATTCTTAGCTTGAATTAAGTTGACCTGTGTCCTTTTTTTAATTATTTTTTTAAACTTATAAATAATTTTTATTAGTTTATTTGCGCCAAACTGTCGACATATGCCGGGAAGCAGAACCTCAATGGATCCGGAGATAATGCTCCGGAGAATGGCGGGTTACATCTGTATTTATACATTGCAATCAAAGGAGAGACATAGGTGGGTTACATGAAATTCATTGGTGATAGATTAAGGAGGTGTGATAAAGCAAAGCAGGGAAACCCCTGGGATTGGATAAAAAGTAAAATGATGGACTCATAATTAGGTAGTTGCAGGAACAATTAATAAGATACTGAAGGAATTTGTGGTATCCTGGTGCCCAGCACTTTTGGTTGTGCCCCAGGAGGTCCAGAAAAAAGGAAGTTGCAAGTTACCCAGACACTTCAAGGGTATGTTATCATAGATGCAAAAAGACAGGCTCAGTTAAGGTAAAGGTTGATCAAGCCTAAACAGGCAGTTGGATATACCTCTCACAATACAGGACTGCTGGCTCCCAACTGCTAGCCTGCCTGCCTTCCTGATTGCCCTAACTGCTTCTGCCTGCCAGTCTGATCACCCCCTAACCACTCACCTGCCAGCCTGATCTTTCCCTAACCACTCACCTGCCACCTTAATTGCTCTCCCCTGCAGGCCTGGTCCCCCCAAATTGCTCTCCCCTGCAGGCCTGGATCTCCCACCAACTGCCCTTCCCTGTAGGCCCGGTCGCTCCCTACTTCTCTCCTCTGCTGGCCATCTTGTGGCGACATGGGAGCAGCCATCTTGTATGTTGTAGTAATGGTCAATTTGCATATTATTCTTTTATTAGATGGGACAATTTGCATATTATTCTTTTATTAGATGGGTCTAGAGTCCCGGTGTACAAAATTCATGCACAGGATATGTGTGTGTCCCTCAGCCCAGCATGCACCCTCTCCAATATGGGACCCCTCAAGTGATGTCTGACTGCCTGTTTAGGCCCACTCCCTCTCACAGTCCAGGACTGCTGGCTCCCAACTGCTTGCCTGCCTGCCTGCCTGATTGTCCCTAACTGCTTCTGACTGCCAGTCTGATCACTCCCTAACCACTTCCCTGCCAGCCTGATCGATGCCTAACTGCCCCCCCTCATCCCCACCAGCCTGGTCACCCCCAACTGCCCTCCCCTGAAGGCCAGATTACCCCTAACTGCCCTCCCCTGCAGGCCTGGTCCCCCTTCCCCCAACTGCCCTCCCCTGCAAGCCTGGTACCCCCCAACTTTCCTCCCCTGCAGGTCTGATCGCTCACAACTGCCTTCCCCTGCCAGCCATCTTGTGGTGGCCATCTTGTGTCCATATGGGGGCAGCCATCTTTGACCACATGGGTGTGACCCTCCTCTGTGGCCATCTTGTATGTTGGAGTGATAGTCAATTAACATATTACTCTTATTAGATAGGATTCTTTATCAGATACTTTAGATTATGTTGGACAATTGATCAGTTCTTCATGTTTTGCATGAAGTTAATAATCCATATATCTCAGGAAATTAAATAGTAATTTGTGGATTGGTTATTTTTATTTTTTGTTAAAAATTTAAAATATTATTAGAATTTTAAAAGTGATATTCTGTAGGAGAGGGTCACACGCATAGGAGAGCCAGTAGACTACAGGGAGAAATTTCTTTATCACAGGTAAACTTTATCCCTCTATTGAAATTGCCCTTGCTCTCATTTCACTCTCATCAAGTCAGACATTTTATAAGAAAGCAACATATGAAGTCAGTGACTTAATAGGAAATACATCTCCCCAAATAAGGTTCATTTGTCTTTTTAGAGTGATCATTCTCTGCATTATCTTGCCAGGAGGGCTAAGCCTTATGCATGAGCAGAAACCCAAGGCATTTAGCTGCAAGGTAATTTAAGAGAAGCCAAGTAAAAGGAATTTTGAGCACATCATTAGGTTGATATGGGAAGCCTTGGGGTCTGCCAGGACTGTTTCTGATTTTGGAATTCATCTTTCCTCACCATTAGTCTCCTTTGCTGCAGTTTTAACTGAATAGTGCCTATCAAGTGGAAAAGGAATTGGACTAGAAGTTGATAAACCAGATTTTGATTTATTCTCTACCTCTTCTTAGCTATGTATCTGTGCTACCCTGATTATTTAAAGGAGACTGGATTGGTTCTTTTTAATCTGATTTTCTTGTTTAACATTTAAAAACCAATATTATCTTCAACATTTATATTATTTTAGAGAATTTATTAGTAATTAATAACAAATGAAGTGGCAATAAGGACTCACTGATACTTATTGACTTTGGGTGAAAAAAGAGGGCTTTTGTTTGCTTGGTTTTTTTTTGTTTTTGTTTTTGTTTTTATGAATTAGGAATTTTTTTAAACTTGTATTAAAGAAAATTGATGCTTAAGTATTATGCAGGCCATTACATTATTTCACATAAACACTCTTTTCCTAGAGATTTTATACTTGTAAACATGGAGTCTCAGATATAAACATTTCCTTGTATGTTGCAAAATTACTGTTTTTTATGATATAGTCATATGAATATTTTTTCAGTAAAAGCGCTAATGAAAACACAAAATATTAGAATTTCTGTTCTTCACAATAAAAGATCTACTCCCAAATACTGATAGTCATTGAACTGATCTTTAATGTAATGTTGTTGTTCCTGTTGTTTATATAAAAGGACATTGATAGTATTAGCAATCTGTATTTCTGGAAATAAGTACTGATAATACCACTGGGATAAAGACATTTTTGGTGTAAATAAAATATTGGAATCAGAGTTTAGACTAAAAGCATACTTTTGCATTTTAAAGGAAAT